AAAATGTTTTTGACAAAATGCCCAACACCGCCGGATTTCTGGAAACCATGGATCCCAAGATAGTCCAAATTTTTTTGACCAAATTGCCTTCTCTTAATAAGTATGCAACTGAAATGCTGACCAACATGTTTAAATTGCCATCACTTTTGCCAGGAATGAAAATGAAACATGACGATGAGTTGCCGAAAGCAGAATCATTTTTTTCAAACGAGGAGCTTGAAGCGCTTCGATCGCAAATACCCCACATTGACGAGGTGATAGAGTTGGTTGATCCGAAGAAACTATCTGTACTACGCGTTTTAATACCAGATTTTCAAAAATACTTAATCAACGAAGAACCCGCTAAGATAAATGCAATCAACTCACATTTGGTGAACGTTAAATTTGTCATCGAAAAGATGAAAGATGGACGTGTTGATACGCTTCTTGATAAGCAGCTTTTGAAAGACCTTGGTCTTGCTGACCCCTCTATCGTCAACACCCTTCTTACCCATTTTCCTTCGGCAAAATCGCAATCCACAGATTCACTTCTATCCCAAGTTAAAGGCAAACTCGATGAAGCAAAAAATATGGTCATCAATGCACAAACCCAGATGTCACCTTCAGAGCATTTGAAACCCACTGATTCATTCCTAACTCAAGTAAAAGATACACTTGAGGCTGCACAGGATATGGTCTCCGATATATCAATGCAGTCGAAGCCTTCGAATCAGTCTAAACCCACTGATTCACTTCTATCCGCTGTTAAGGGTACGCTTAATGCTGCAAAGGATATGGTTGCCGACATATCTACACAGATGAAGCCTTCAATGCAGTCGAATTATCCTGAATCCCTAATGTCCAAAGTTAAGGGGAAGCTTGATACTGCAAAAAAATTAGTTGCTAATACACCTGCTAAGGTATTGCCTTCGCAGCAGTTGAATCACACTAGTTCACCTCCGACCCAGACAAATGACACCCTTGATGCCGCAAAAGACATGGTTGCCAACATGTCTACTCAGACGAAGCCTTCAAATCAGTCAAAGCACCGCGACTCACTTGAGTCCAAAGTTAAAGACAAGCTCGAGGCCGAGAAAGATTTAGTTGAGGATGAATCTGCTGAGGTGGTGCCTTCACAACATTCAAAACCCGAATTTCCACTTTTGCCCCAAATTAAGCCTCTTGAGGCATCACAAGTCGGTGAAAGTATTCGTGACTTTTTCAGCAAAATTGCTAAGCCTTTTCAACAGAAGTTACAGTAGAAGCAGTAGGTATTTATTCCCTTGACCAATGTTATCACCTGCTTAATTGTCTCTGTGATTAAACGATGCTCTTTGATAGCTATAATAAATGTTCCCTCCTACGACTTAACTTCTAACTGTCTGCTTTTATGGG